AAGTCCAAAATCCTGAGTGACATCTTTAGGTATAGGGTCAAGATTGTCTGGCAGCGTCTTTAGAGCTCTGAAAAATGTCGAATCACACGCATTAGAGAGTTTCGCTGATATCAATGAAGGCAATAGAATATGTTTTCTAAGAATAGATTGAGTTAATGACATGGAACTTCTTATTACTAGCACAAACATACGATAAAATGAGAGAGAGAGAGATGTGCAGAAAAAATACAATGAAACACGTCATGTATGCCAAATTTACCATCTAAATGAAGCAATAAAAGATATATAACGGTACATTAATACATGGCAATGCCACACACACCATTTGACGCCAGTAGACTGACCAGACAGAAATTCAATAAAATGATGGAAGTAGAACATGATCTAACTTATCCTCTTTTTACCTTTTACAAGAAACAAGACAAGTTAAATCTTCAATTCTACCTAAAACAGTCTTAGGTGTTCAACTTTCCATGCATCGGTAAATGCCTCATTCCTATAATACAATTTAATTTGTGGACAGGATCACAAATTAGATGCGCTGCCTTTCCTTTTGATAAGTCCTAAAATAATAAGCAGCTTGCAGAAGTACATTAATGCAATCTTGAAACTCTCTCCCACATACTATTACTTGTTAAAACAACAGAGGCCAAATCTGTTTAATTATTCGTCTTTTAAATATAAGACTGGATACCTATGACCCTGTGTTGACAGAATGAAAAATGTAATGAGGATGAGAAAAATATAAATCATGGTAAACAATCCACTCTCGAAAAAGTAAAAAGGAAAAAAAGGAAAGGAAAGAAAAGAAAGGAAAAGTTATGAACTTAAAATTGTTTACTGCCATTATTTGTTGACAAACAAAGAGGTTAACAATTCAAGATTACTAATAAAGAATATTTTACTTGCAGTGATGAAGAGATGCAGACCTATACACGATGTGCAAATTTAATACTAAAGGGACTAATTATCAACTTGGATACAGTAGCCATGGTACAAGGCAGACATGGCCTGGTTTTTGTAGCATGACAGGTGAACATTTTTATCTAACAAGATGAAAAATGTGAACCATGAGAGAGAGAGAGGAACAAGAACAAGGAAAAGGAAAAGGAGAAGAAAAGGGTAGTGAAATAGCAGCCTCAGTCCACTACGAATTAGTTTACCAATGAGACCAAGTTTCAGAATACAGACCTTGAAATGATATCCCGAAGAAGATCTGGGGTTAGTCCTTTTTTCGAAGGATATATTGGATAAGGCCTCCCTTTTGAACACAAAGATGAATCTCCTTCGTCTTTGAGCACATCAATATTGTATTCCCTCATTTCAAAGTGATCTTCACAACGCATTGTCCGTACCTTTTTAAGATCCACAGCTATGAGTAAATTTTGCACAAAAAAGCATTTCAAACAATCAAAATAGCCAAAGCCTCACCCAAGAAAAGTTAAAGATATTAAGGAAAAAATGAAAAGGCAACATCCTAAAAAGATACTTCCTGCGACAATGAACTGAAGAAGGCTCTCAACTATGGCTCAAGTGCCTAGGTATGTACGGAAAAAAACAATATATGAAATTTAATGTAACCTGATGAATACCCAAGTTTTTTTTTTCTTTTTTATAGGTAATCAGAGAATTTTATTCCTTAAAAGAGAATACACGGGAGGTATATAATCACTTTAGGCATGAAAGGAACAACATGAAATTAGGCAACCCTACAACAGGATTTTTAGCCACTGCATTAAACCAAGTATACAAAGTCAAATAAAATAATTCTCTTATCTGCTCTGTTGTCTTTGTTTGGTCTTCGAAACATCGATCATTTCGTTCTCTCCATATGCACCATACAATGCATCCCAGGATAAGATTCCAGAGAAATTTGCTATCCTTATCGCGAAGTTTTCTCCTTCATGCCCGAACCACATCTTCTATACGCTTAGATAGCACCCAATCCATTGATTGAGAAGCCAGAATACTGTTTCAAAGCCAACGTACACCATCACAATGAATGAATAAATGATCAATTATCTATCCATCCTTCTTGCACATATAGCACCACTCGGTTACATAAAATCCTTTTCGTCGAAGATTATCCACCGTTGACACCTGCCCCCTCATAACTGTCCACAATAAAAATGCTACCCGTGAAGGCAATTTGCTTTGCCACACCATCTTCCAAAGTAATGAACTTCCCACAAATCCCAAAAGGGATTGAAAGTATAAGCGGACTGAAAAAATACCATCTCGAGCCAACCTCCACCCGCTACAATCACCCTCTCCTACCAGAATTTGTATCTCATGCAGAGCAGTCAAAAACAACGAATAATCTTCCAATTCCCAATCCTGTAAACTCCTCCCAAAAGTAATATTCCAACTATAGCCCCCATTATGAATGTCTAATACATCACCCACCATAGCAGCAGACTCTAACGCAATGCGATACAATAAAGGAAATCCCTCCTTTAACGGTTGATCACTACACCAACTATTATCCCAAAATCTAATATCAGTGCCATTTCCCACCACAAAATTTAGTTTCTCCCTAAAATCACTCCATCCCCGTCGGATATACCTCCACAAACTCACCCCATAGGAGCCACGATCCTCAATCGTACACCAACCCCCCTCCATCACACCATACTTTACCCCAATGATTTCTCTCCAAAAGCTCTCCCTCTCCACTCCAAATCACCACAACCACTTGCCCAATAAAACCTTATTAAACAAAACAAGGCTCCTCACTCCAAGTCCCCCCATCCTCATAAGCAAACAAATAGTACCCTAATTAACCAAATGCATCCTCTCCTCCCCTAACCCTGCCCACAAGAATTCTCTTTAAAAATCTCTCTAATCTATTTGCCACTGCAACCGGAATAGGAAATAATGACAAAAAGTAAGTGGGGAGATTTGAGAGAGTGGATTTGCCATACGCTTCCACTCTGCTAATCTCCTCTCTATTCTTTCCATAATATCATCCAGATATATGTACTTTTAAACCGTACCCCTAGCGGGAGGCCTAAATATGACATGGGCAATTGTGCAATCCTACATCCCAATATGCCAGCCAACTCCTCCACGTTAGTGACCTCCCCAACTGGAATAACCTCAGATTTTCCCAAATTGATTTTTAATCCAAATACCGCTTCAAAACATAGGAGCAAACGACGCAGGTTCCTAAATTGTTCATCATTCGCATCACATAAGATCAACGTGTCATATGCAAATAGCAAATGAGACACCTACAATTGGCCAACCCTAAAGCCCCTTACCAAACCCTCTCCCACAACTCTTTCAAACATCCTACTGAAAGCCTCCATCACAATAACAAAAAGCAATGGGGATAGTGGATCTCCTTGCCGCAATCCTCTACTACTCCGAAAATAACCCTCCGGCGTTCCGTTGACCATAACTGAGAACGAAACAGTAGAAATACAGAACTGAATCCATTTACACCACTTATCCCCGAAGCCGCACCTCCTAAGCATATACAGAAGGAACCCCCAGTTCACATGATCATATGCCTTCTGAATATCGAGCTTACATAGCATCCCGGGAATTCCCAAACGCAATCTTGAATCAATGCATTCATTCGCTATAAGCACAGAGTCCAAGATCTGGCGACCTTTTACGAAAGCATCTGAAACTTGGACACTACTTTCCCGAGCACCTCCTTTAATCTGTTCACCAGGACTTTCGCAATAATCTTATACACCCCACAGATTAGGCTAATAGGGCGAAAGTCCTTAATGTCGGTAGCTCCCGATTTCTTAGGGATCAGCACAACAAATGTAGCATTAAAACTTTTTTGGAACCTGCTACGTTAAAAAAAATATGTAAACACATCCAAAATTTCCGATCGCACCACCTCCCAACAAGCCTTGTAAAATGAGAACGAGAAACCGTCCGGTCTAGGGGCCTTATCCTCGTTCATGCTAAACACTACCTCCTTGATTTCATCCTCCTCAAAAGGTCGCTCTAACCATCCGGCATCGTCCTCCGTGATAGTAGAAAAATCTAATCCTTCCAACTCTGGCCTCCACTCAAACTGCTCTTGATATAGATTCTGATAGAAATTCACCAATTGGCTTCCAATTTCGAGTGGTTCTTCATAAGTTATCCCATCCACTTCCAACACTGTGATAGAGTTTTTCCGCCTATTAGAATTAGCGATTCTGTGAAAAAACTTGGTACATTTATCTCCTTCTTTCAACCAATTGACCCTAGATTTCTGACGCCATGCAATCTCCTCCATCTCCACCAACCTCTCTAATTCTTCCCTTAATGCTCTACGTTTCTCCTTCTCCTCCCCAACCAACCTTCGACTCTCCTCCCACCTATCCAACTCATCAATCTCTGAAAGACACTGAATTTTACGACAGTTCACATTGCCCACAAACTTCTCATTCCATTTCTTTAAGTCTCCTTTCAAATACTTCAGCTTCTGATCCAACACAAAACTAAGAGACCCCTGACATCGTAAGATGTCCACCAAGTCTGTACTTGCTCCCTAAAACCTTCAACTTTTAACCACATTTTCTCGAACCTAAAAGGCCTTCGTCCTCCACCCGTTCTGTTCCCCATTAACATAATGGGGAAATGATCAGAGTACACCCTCCCCAATCTTCTCTGAATGACATCTGAATACTTAGCCTCCCACTCTCCGCATATCAAGAATCTGTCTATACGAGAAAGAACAGGTTGATCCCGATTAGATGACCAGGTAAAATCTCCTCCAATCATAGGCAAATCCACCAACATATTCTCCCTTATAAAGTCTGAAAACTCCTCCATAGCCCCGTGAGTCTCCCACCGTTCGACCTCTCAATAGGAAATCGAACCACATTAAAGTCACTTCCTATACACGTTGGTAGATTCCACCAAGCCATCATTCCAGCCAGTTCATCCCACAAGCCCCTTCTACTGTTATCAGTATTAGGCCCATAAACACCTATGAACATCCACTGAAATCCATCCCCAATGTTTCTGAACGACATCAAAATTGAGAACAATCCAACACTCACCTCCTCCATCTCAAGCACTCTGGTGTCCCACATGACTAATATGCCTCCAGAAACCCCTGATGATCCCATAAACTGATACCCTACATGCTGTCCCCCCATAAGCTACTGACCACCGCTCTCGAGATGACCTCCATCTTGGTTTCTTGTAAGCATACAAGATCCGCTCCCCAGCCCCTTAACAGATGTCGAACACCCATCCTTTTCCCCACTTCATTAAGTCCCCTTACATTCCAACTAATGATTCGTGCTATCATTTTAACAGTCCAGCATCCCTCCCCAGTACTCCATTCTTGGACTCACCACTCTTGCCATCATAATTAACTGACCATTCAAGCCTCTTAAGTTCACGACCGCCCTTTCTTCTTAATTTACCTTCTTGTTTACTCATCTCCTGTCCCCTATTAGCCTCCAAATTTTCAAACAATTGTAGTAATCTGTTTTCGTATCCATCACAAGACACGCCCATTAACTTACTGAAATCCTGAATTTTCTGTAGAACCCAGTTCGAAGGCGAGTGTCCAGCTTCAAATCTGATAGAACCCCAACTGTTAAAGCTGACTGGTTTAATGTAAAGATGAAACTGAAAATGGAAATGGGTAATTTTATTAAAATGTACGTAAGAAAGGACTCCAAACAACCCAAAGCATTCGAGAGGCTCGGGACTCTCCCACTAGACTCAACATACACGTGAATGAATGAATATCCCAACTCCCCATTACATTTATCGACAATTTGCTAGCTATCTATGACCCTTTTACACCTTTTGCTAACAACCTATGGAATACTCTAGAATTGTTGATGGCTTGGGCTGCAATTTTATTGGATGTCTATCAAAATCCAATCAATTCCCCTGTTTCCTCCACCTGTATAACATCACTTTCTATTTCTCCCTTCTTGGCTCCATCTACCCACAACACCAGTGCTTTTTCCATCCCCAAGTCACTTACCTTCATTAACTTAGAGTTCCTTCTATTATATGTGTGTCGCAACCCTTGTTGTCAAAGGTGTCGCGTCGTGCTCTATCACCCCTGACAGTACATGCCTCGTCCCTTGGTCACCTAGGAAAAGCCCATCATCGTGTGGGACTGTGTCCATTGCACCTATCGTTACTGTCTCCAAGTTCACCAAACTCGGTTCCCCTTCTTTAGACAAAGGTACCACCTCTCGGTCTACATCGGTCCCCGCGTCGACCTCATCCATAACCATCCCCTCTAAGACATCACCTTTGTCATATTTAGATTGTCCCTCATCCGTTTCAATCCGATCAATAGACTCACAAGTGATTTCGAGTCTTCCCTGCTTTACTTAATTATGTGCCGATTCCTTCTTATTCAATTCTGATGCTTGTTTTCCAACAGCTGGATACTCATCAATACCCACCCCACACTTGTGGCAACATAACAACTTCTTGGGACTCATTTCATATCCACTTTCCACTAGCCTAATCAATTCCTCCAACGCTCCTTTCAATTCCTGGACACGGGCCATAATTTCAGCCCTATTCAAACAACAATCCTGACCTTTGTTTACACTAACATTGACAGTCATCTCCTTTTGCTGTTGCATCTGCTGGTCAGCATAATTCGAGGCATGTAAGTTTGCTATTACGTCTGCATAAGTCAATCTTTGTCGATTACGTTCATTCACCAGTCGACGTTTGGCCTTATCCCTAGCAACAAAAGAATCGACAACAGTTTGAAACACCCGCGAGATTGATGCCCATCCTTCTCCATTCGCGCCTTCCGGCACCATCACAACTCCTTTTCGACGCCTATCCCCATACTGCGCTATCATCAAGTACCTACCACGGCGGTTCGCACAACGTTGTGCCAAGAAGGTTCTTGATGACTCATTGAACTTAGAAACGAAATCCTCATGCTTACTAGTTACCCTCAACTTGTCCACCATATTCACCATCCAAAGTGCACCGAATCTTCCCAAACTAATTGCATTCGATATCTTCGAGCCCCATTCGGTCAATCTAACAGTACCAAGATTGGTAACAAAAATTGCAAACTCCTTCGCCTCAACTCGAAAACTATGATTGAAGGCCACATCGAATTCATCCACAAACTTCGTTCCCTGATTGTGTGTGAACGGCATATTAGACTACAAAACAGGCATCGTTACTGGAATAGAGACATTCTGCCTGTCATTCTGGTTCGCCGGCGCCGACGAGTGGCAGTCACGCGCCGGCGAGCGAGTCCCTCAACGCCGCCTTCCGACGTGCGTGGGTCCCTCAACGCCGCCACCCTCGTCGGAATCGCCTGCGCAAACCACCGGTCAGGCGCGTTTGCCAGGCAGGTGGCCAAATTTTGATGAATCTGGATCGGCTTCCCCTGTTTTCCCGCCTGTACTCCGATATTGGCATCATTGTCTCTAGCTAGGGCGGCGGTGCTAGGGTTTCCACCTAGGACCGCCGCCTGTTTGTGTGGTTTATTATGTGGCGTGAGGCCGGTGAATGGGGATTGGCCGGTCGAAGTGATGTTGCCGTCGCCGACGACTGTCGCGACCGGTGGTGATGGGGTGTTCGGTGACTGGCTAAGGGTGTGGTGTTTGGATGTTAGGGAGGAGAGATCCATTTTTGTGGGAGAGATGTCACATAAAGAAAAACGATGAATAAGTCAATCAACTAAAATGAGGATTGTTGTTGGGGGGGGGGGGGAGGAAGATCTTGAATAATAGAAAATCATCAACACAACTTCATCCACTTGGCTGGATTCAACCACCCAAGTTACTGCTTTTGGTTGCATTCAATTGGCTTGTATGCAAGTTATAGTGGTAAATACATTAATCTAACTCTTCCATCTCCCTTTAAAAAGGTACAGCATAACCATTTTAACGTCCCCATTCTATACCACCATTACCACAGCCATTTGGTAACACTAGGGATTGCCCATATCATTTAAATAAATTTGTCATCTCAAATGCCACTACCAAAGATTAGAGCCCAAATTTTTCACAAATTACAAATGATAAATAAGCATTAAAAGAGTGCACCAACCATCAAACAATTAACCAACTTCATAATCTAAACTTCGTAGATCAACAGATCAATCCCTTGCTTGTTTGCTAAAGAGGCTGACTCTGAACTGGAGTACAGAGTAAAATTCAATACAGAAGGAACTAATCATGTACAAGTATTATCAGATAAACAAGTGTCAACAATATTTGAACAGCATTAAGAATTTAAGTATAGCAACCCCACCTTACCACTAACACACACAAGATCTCCTTCCTTGTGCTTATCCTGAAGACTTCGGAGGAAAGGTTGACATGTGAAGCGGGCACCACGGAAAAATTTCTTTAAATGCAAATAAATTTTCCTTCTCTTGCTTTCGGCTTCATTATCCATGCACTTGGAATTTGCCTCAATATCTGCAACCTCACAAGCCACAACAACTTCCAGAAATGAAAAAGAAAGACTAGCTCGAATTCCCCTGTAGAAAAAAAAAATGTTGTTTAAAATCCAAAGTCAGATATTTAATCACTACGAAATTATCCTGAGAACATGATTCGAAAGGGTTAAATAAGAGGCATCTTATTAACCAAAAATGCAGCTTGTAGGAACAGATTTACATACTGTGAAACCTGGGAAGCAAGCATACCTTTGGCTTTATGGAAACTGCATACAGAGCCAATCAGAATATTCGTGACTATGTCCTAATAAACTTAAATGCCCAGAACTCCATAAATGGAGTGTTGAAATTTTTCAAGAACAACTTTGGTTACTGTAATTTTTTTTTAAAGAATAACAGATATCATAGAATTAGAAAAATGAATTAGTGACCAACATAGAACTTTTACGAAATTACAAGACCTGAGAATATTTCTTTCATGAAGAACATTGCAGGGAAAGATGTGAAATGAGAAGATTTGCATTTTTATATAGAGGAAAAGTTCATGACACTAGGGATTGCCCATATCATTTAAATAAATTTGTCATCTCAAATGCCACTACCAAAGATTAGAGCCCAAATTTTTCACAAATTACAAATGATAAATAAGCATTAAAAGAGTGCACCAACCATCAAACAATTAACCAACTTCATAATCTAAACTTCGTAGATCAACAGATCAATCCCTTGCTTGTTTGCTAAAGAGGCTGACTCTGAACTGGAGTACAGAGTAAAATTCAATACAGAAGGAACTAATCATGCACAAGTATTATCAGATAAACAAGTGTCAACAATATTTGAACAGCATTAAGAATTTAAGTATAGCAACCCCACCTTACCACTAACACACACAAGATCTCCTTCCTTGTGCTTATCCTGAAGACTTCGGAGGAAAGGTTGACATGTGAAGCGGGCACCACGGAAAAATTTCTTTAAATGCAAATAAATTTTCCTTCTCTTGCTTTCGGCTTCATTATCCATGCACTTGGAATTTGCCTCAATATCTGCAACCTCACAAGCCACAACAACTTCCAGAAATGAAAAAGAAAGACTAGCTCGAATTCCCCTGTAGAAAAAAAAATGTTGTTTAAAATCCAAAGTCAGATATTTAATCACTACGAAATTATCCTGAGAACATGATTCGAAAGGGTTAAATAAGAGGCATCTTATTAACCAAAAATGCAGCTTTTAGGAACAGATTTACATACTCTGAAACCTGGGAAGCAAGCATACCTTTGGCTTTATGGAAACTGCATACAGAGCCAATCAGAATATTCGTGACTATGTCCTAATAAACTTAAATGCCCAGAACTCCATAAATGGAGTGTTGAAATTTTTCAAGAACAACTTTGGTTACTGTAATTTTTTTTTAAAGAATAACAGATATCATAGAATTAGAAAAATGAATTAGTGACCAACATAGAACTTTTACGAAATTACAAGACCTGAGAATATTTCTTTCATGAAGAACATTGCAGGGAAAGATGTGAAATGAGAAGATTTGCATTTTTATATAGAGGAAAAGTTCATGAAAAACGTTCTTTTGCCATTTGTCTTTTCTTGTGTTGTTTATTAATTACCTTATTACTCATACTTTTAGATAACATTATTTTATTGGTATAAGGGTAAATTGCACAAATAGTCCCAATGTTTGATCCCTTTTGCACTTTTAGCCCCCCATTCTTTTATGGGGACCGCGGGAGAGAGTTAGGGATAGTGTCAGGCGAGGGGGTAAAGAAATAGTGAATTCCTTCATTACCCCTGCTCTTTCAATTATATGAGATGAATATGCCAGCTCAATGTTTTTTCTCCTGGACGATATGGTGAGTAGGAACAAAAGGTGCCAAAAAATTAATTGCTGGGAAGTTAAATGCCAAGAAAAGAAGGTTGGGGATAAAAGTGCAAATGGGGATAAAAGCACGGGACTATTCCATAATCTCGCCAATGTATACCAAAAAACTTAATTTTTAACGAACAAGATTTAACTTCGAGAGTAGATAACAGCAAAAGAAAGATAGTTAAAAGCGAATGCCAATGATCCAGCTCAAATAATTGCAGCACCATCTACAAAATTTTGACAACTAATATTTTGAAAACCCTAGTTCAATCCTTCAATGACCCTGTAAATGTCTTGCAGTGAAGTACCCATTTACCCCCCCCCCCAACCCAAAATAAAGGAATTTGAACCAGTTGATAAGACATTTGTGGCACCAAAAAAAATTCACGTCCCTGGCATTTTGTATCCCATTGTAAAGAAATATGCCTACACAATTGGAGATCTTGTCATGTCAGTAGTTGAGTTTCTTATGCTCCAGCTACATAAGCAGTACTTTAGTTGTGCCAGCCCAGGTTCCAATTTATAAGTTCTCTCTGAAGTAAAACGTACAGTTTATTCATAGAATAGAAAAGAAGACCAGATCCATATGATGAGCTTTGTAGAAGAAGTATTCGAGTCACATACACATTTGAAATACTATGTCCAGTGTGCTTATTGTGAAATCATGAGCTAGTGCATGGTCGTACCTGCCTACACAGAGTCACACACATATTTGAAATACTAGGTCCAGTGTGTGCTTATTGTGAAATCATGAGCTAGTGCATGATTGTACCTGCTTAGGCACCTAAAAATATGTTCTTGCAGAAGAAGAAATTATAGAACTTGACTCAGAAAATGTCACAAGGACAAGATCCACATGATGACCTCTAGTTCACTTGCACACTGAAAACCACATAATCAACAATGGTGGAAAATAAGAATTGAAGAACTTAAAACGTTGTGTGCATCTGTCTTTTCTACGAAGAAAAGACAGTCTTCATTAATACCTGCAAGCATACTTTAGGTTAAGGCTAACATCATGAATTGTTAGTCTAAGTTGCATTAAGTATACGTGTGTGTTCAGACCATAATGGAAAAAGAGGTACCGGTGGCCCGCACCAAACAGATAAGCAAATGAATAAAGACACCTATCATTTGCTGCATTCTGAAGTATCCAAGTGTGTTTGATAAGGAAGCGGGAAGGAATTTGATAGAAGACTATAAATTGGTAATAGGCGTTTATTATTATTATTATTATTATTATTATTATTATTATTATTATTATTATTACAATACTTAACATTATGTTGGGGTTCTTACATTGGTATTTTTCCTATTAGTGAACTTTAGTCAATTCATTTATTTTCTAGCGTACGACTCTTGGCAAGACCTTTAAATAAGCTCAAATTTAGGGTTTTGAGCACACCACTCAATGAATTGAATAATTGAAATTGTCAAGTTTAATTTCTCAGGTTAATTTAGGAGTAGACTCTAGGTTAGTATATCAAGGTTTGTTTTTCTTTCATTTGTGAGAGAATTAGTCATAAACTTGTACGCTCCTCCATCTTTCAGCGCAAGTTGTCCTTTGGACATATATATTTGGTTAAAGGCAAAACGAACCGGAGGTTTCAGCTTATTTTCCAAGTTGTACCAAAATCAACAAAAAGTTCATAATTTCCACATACATCATAGCTCAAATAAAACACAAAGATGTTATATCTGCTAGCATGATCAAAAACATATATCCCATTAGAAAATTGGAGAACATAGATATATTTAGAAAACAACGTTCTCAAGCAGTAAAAAATAGTTATTTTCAGAATAATATAAAGTTGACCTTGAGGATATGATTTTCCCAACAAAAATCAAGTACTGTCCATCATCAATTTCCACCTCAGCATTTTGTAGATCAGCATAGGTGCGGGGAAAGTGGTGTAGCAATTTCCGTAACTGCAAGTAAACAAGCAGATCCATTACAATTCAACATCTAAAGTAAACTGTGAGAATCTCCGAATAATCTTTTGATAGCACACCGTATGAAAACCAGAATTATCCAGCTGATTAAGCTGCCGTTTACTCAGCCCAGATATGCAGCTGATAGATTTATCAAGAATATCTGCCACTGATATAGTAGTTTGCTGGGTCTGAAAGCTGGAACTGCTGCAAGGTTGGCCCCTAGGGAGACGTGAATCATTTTCCACTTGTGTCTCTAAAGATGGTGACTGAGAATACATAGGAGATTCCTTGAATTTTTCTTCCAGGAGATAAGAGCTGTCTTTTGAAATCTCTGCATATAGAGAATCCGTTGGTCCGTACATACAATTTGGATCGGCCCAGTTTGTATCAACAGGACTAGGAAGATATCCTCCTAGAATTTCAGGTGCCAGAAGTTCCCTGCTTCCAGAAGAGGGTGTGGTTCCATCATACAACTCCACAGTTGGGAAATATCCCAAAGTGATGGAAGGAAATTGTTTGCATGCCAAGGAGACATCAAATTCGGTATTTTCATGAGACTTTTCTCTAGCTCTTGCATTGTCAATTAAGTCATCTAGACCATTGTAACCCATCAATACTGGTTCCTACAAACAAATCAAGTTTTAACCATGTGAAAACTTCTCAAGTGCAGAAAATATCATTATTCATACTTGGGAACAAAGCACCATTATAATTCAAAAGCTAAAGCCAGAAAGAAAATGAAAATAAATAGAAGGTGTATAATCATCATACAATGGTTAAAACAAGCACTTGAACATGTAATGCAGTGCCCCATGTTATTTTCCATGTCATAATGTTAGCGATGGTGTAATAAGTTCCTTTGGAGGACTGATGAACCAGACCCTAAACAAGGAAAATGATCATAGAAACAAATTGATCAAAAGCAATCAAAGAATAACCATAAGCTAGAAACAAGTGAGGAATGGGGAAGCAAAGTACAAGAAACGGTTGCTAAATGAGAAAGTAAAATGCATTCAACTTATAGAGAACACCATCAATTCCTTAATTCCAACTGGCATTCTCCATTCTAATAGCCTACTAGCTACTTACCACCAGTTGAAGATTGGAGCTGAAAGAGGGCTCGCCCTTCTTGCACCGTTCCTACCTACCTACCTCAACCCCACAAAAAGATTCTTTTTTCACCCAAAAAACAGCATATATTTTTAAGCATCATCAACATTTGATCCTGACTGACTGTGATCTCAACCTGTCAGCATCTCAAATTTGGACAGAATAAAAACAGTTCCCAGGCAGACCAGAGTTTCTAATATGCCAAAAATGGTTGAGAAGTAATTTAAAATTAGACGCTTACACTCAAATATACATAGACATACACACACACACACACATATACATATACATGTGTGTGTGTGTGTGTACACATACACACACACACACACACACACATATATATATGTACATACGTGTGTGTGTGTGTGTGTGTGTGTGTGTGTGTGTATATAAACAACAATAATAATAGTGCAATTAGAGTTAATATGGCACTCCGACAAAAAACAGAATTTCATGAAACTTCAACATCAATGGAACCAAGAATCAGATGGAAAAATCCTATTGTTGAAAACAAGCATTCCAAACTCAACAAATACAAGAAAGTATTATTTTAAGGGAATCTCATAAAAGTATGGATGACGAAGGCTACATGATGAATAAGGAGCAGTTAGAGTAGGTGACACCTTCTGTCAAGAAGAGATTGTGTGATAAGAACTAAAGGTTCCTTCATTGGATTCATGGTATGAGACAGTTATGATAAAGGTTAATCATTAGCGATACAAAGGGACCAAGGCTCTTGTTGAAGAACTATGGATTTCTTTGCTGTGGCACTTGGTTAGCAAGTTGTACCTATGTACTACATGACATGACACTTGACACATCAGACTAGAGAAATTAAGCATGACTCCTTGATACCTGACACAAGGCCATAATACTAAGCTAAGTAACAAGATGTATTTTACTATGGCCCCGTTTGTTTCCCATTAATATAAGAATGAGAAAGAAAAATATATCCGTTACGGGGTGAGGCCCACACAAAAGATAGAAATTCAAATATGGTGGCATGATGTGATAGATAACGATTATATTTTTCATTTTAATAGCCAAATAATGAAAAACAAACAGGGGCTATATATGTCTGGTTATCATGTATATTTTCTTTGGTTTATTTAGATAAATAAAATATCATTTGAACAACCTAATATTGGTTCTTCTTGTGAAGTATCCGACCCCACACCAATTCTAAAGTCAAGATGCTTTTCAATTGAATAACCATGTCCAATTTTGGATCCATAACCCATGTACTAAGAATCAAAGCACCATAGTTCAAAAAATTCTACTAGCTAAGGAAAGGGGTGTGAGATGGAGGACATGGAGGCAAAAAGGAGAGAAAAAAAAAGATGGGGTTTTTCTCTTTTAGCGTAGCAGCCCTCAATGGAGGCTCACACGATGAGTTATTAGCTCAGTAGTAGAGTCTACCCAACACCCCTAATAATTGCGTCAATGTGACTAGGCTGTGAGGGCTCTCGGCCACATACATAGTTCAAAATGCTCATAGCACATGACCCAAGATGTGGAGGGGGATTATATGGGACTAGCTTGGTCACTGCCTAAGAGCATTCTCCTTTCATTTGCTGAATGACTTATCCTTGAGGTTGAGTTACATACTATTTTGGAGGAGATCCTACTGGCCACACAGCTTGGGTTATCAGATCTTTGGTTGAAGACCGACTCAAAATTGGCAATTAACTGCGTCACTCGAGATGCGGGACCATGAGCCATCTGGGATATTCCCAGACGCATCAGAAACCTCTCTTTGAATCAAGATTCAATTTTTCGTAACTACAGAAACAGGAACCAAGTTGTTGTTTCACTTGCCACTGAGGGTTGGGACCATTGTTGTTTCCAGGAGTATGGACCTCCCCACCTTTCTTGCCTGATATATGCTCTTATTCAGACGCACAGATATGGTCTTCCCAACTTTAGGGGTCATTAGAGATTTTTAAATGTTTTATCCTTGTATGAGAAGTAAAACTCCCCACTTATTTCGCTTCTTTCTTTGTTCTACTATTTTATTTTCGAAAGTCAGGTATATGTCCCCCACCATTTGTTCTTGTATGTTCAATATATTACGTGGCTGGGAAAAAATAACCCACATCAATCCATTTTGGTAGAGCCTAAACCTAGTGAGGTTGTGTTGATATTTTGCTAAAAGAAGAACAGACAGCTAATGCATTCCACTTTTTGAATATGATTCTATGGTCGATATGTTACCCCTAAAAACTAAAGGTGGCCATGTTAAATGGTCTTTCAAATTGGTCAAGGCTCTCTACTTTATTGCTATCAATTGTTGTTTTATTGAATTTACTTGATCAAAAAGATCATTCTTTAGTCTTAGTAACAGAATGAGAGACACAAGCACAAAATAGAATGAGATAGTAGAAGGAACAACAATACTTTCCATTTTCTTAGGTTCCATTTCATTTAATTAGGAGTAGCATCATACAGCATTAAACAACACAAGCTAATTACTCGTCATTCTATTCGGTTCCTATCACTAGGGCCGGACAAAACTAGGACTGTCAATGGATCAGATCTGCTCAAATCCAATCCGATCTGTTAAGAATAATTATCCAATCTGATCCGATCCGATAATCCAACAGATATTTGAATGTCAAAGTCCATAACCGATTAGCTATGTTATCAAATATTTGATCCGAAATTGAAAATATTAGATTTTCATTAAAAAGCATAGCCACAACAAGATTTTAATTAATTATTTATTTTACAGAAATATTTGAGCTATCTCGATCGGCTAACTTATTATATTAGAAAGCCCAAATCAATTTTTTTATCCAAGTAATGCTCCTTCGAACTCCTTTTTAAAAAAGACTCATCTTGGAATGTTTTAGTGAGATTCGAATGTGGGATACTAGCTTTTTAAAAAATTCTATTCTTCCAATGATTTAGTGATCTTTTAATGTAGGATACTAATCATAATTATTTGTTACTAGTTTACTTCGTTATTTTCATTAAAAATCATAGCCTCAATAAGATTTTAATTACAAACAATATCAATTTGAACAAAGTAAATTATTTTAGACATTAAGGGTCTGTTTGATTGCGAATATGGAATTTAGGTGGAAAGAAAATGAATTCCAGGGAATTGAATTACCTAGAAATTGTTTTCATGGAAATTGTAAATTATTGTGTTTGATTGTATAAACTTTTCACGTGGAAAATGTTGAAGTAAAAGTATTTTTTGATGTTCGTTTGACTTTGTTTTACGTGAAAATTGTCAATTTCAGGGATATCCTCTTTTACAATTATTCCTAAAATTTGTTCCCATTGCCAACAATTAAAAAAAATAAAAAAAAAGCAAAAAAAATAAAAATAAAAAAAGGTGGAAAACCAAAAACCACCTATCCCCTAGGAAAAAAAAAGGTGGAAAATCACGCTTTAAGGTGTTGTACCTAGAAATTCATGGAAAATCAATTCCCTGGAAAATTTTGTCAATCAAACAGGCCAAAAGTGAAAGTTGGAATTCGAATTCCAAGTTCCATGGAAAATTTCGTGCAATCAAACGGGGCCTAATTGTTAGTTTTTTTTGTTATAAAACAATTTACTATAGTAAATCTACTCAATAAATTAATTATTATTTTTATTTTATTTTAATTAATAAAAAAATTAAATCTCTTCAAAATTTTCAATTCAAAATATTATACTATTATATAATATTATTTATTATTTAAAATTTACATGTAAAGTATAATACAATTTTCAAAATGGAAAAAACTGTCATAAATTATGCGATAATATAATTATAATAAATCTGATCGGGTTGTTATCGGATCGGATTGACCTATATTCATATTTAATTCATTTAGTTAACAGATTATCGGATTCGAATCTCGATCGGGTTATCGGCTTAAAACCCTAAATCCATCTCCCATTAATTTTATCGGATTCGGATCAATACCTAATCCATTGACAGCCGTAGACAAACTCCCGAACCGAATCGATTCAGATCAAACAGGACCAGACTTGAAATGAACCGAATCGAGCTGTTCTTCTTAAATTAAATAGCCGAATGGGTATCTATTCTAGACCAAGAACTGTTCTAAATAAGCTTGCTAACTAATTAATTGAGCCTAAACTCAATATATAATTTTCCTATTTCTAATTTCCAACCCAAGCCCAACTTAAAAAAATTGACCTTAAGTTTTACCCAAATCTATTTTTCTACCGTAATGTTGTTTCTATAGTTTTGAAGAAATCGAATTGAAAACTCAGCTACGCCTCTCTTCATTATTGTTAGCTCGATATAATTCTCTTCCTGTGATTTTAAAGATCAAATTTATGAAGAATTCAACAACAAAATGTGCAAAAGATACATAATATTGGACAACGTTATTTTATAAAAGCTAAGATTGAATATATCATTAGTTGAATTAATATAGCATTATTGTAAATATTAAAAAATTTAATTATTGTATATAACCCAAGAACCAAATGGAATCAAATTGAACTAAACTGAATGAAACTGAACCTGAACGGTTCTATAATTAAATTTGGACTCGACGGCTCCACTTACTAAACACTCAAAAATTTGAATTTGCTTTAAAACCGAACCAAATCGGACAATGTCTAGCCCTACCTGTCACCTTGTCCTTAATCATGTTTTTTGCCATATTTCAACTACTTTCTTTGTTGATCTTGTCTTTATATAGCTTTCTCATATCTTTGTATTGGTGGTAATTCTAGATCTCATCAGATTTACAATCTCCATCAAATAACTTGATAAAACTCATGTACGCCAGCATCAAGTTCCATCAGCACTTCTCTTATCTAACAAATTCATCATTTAGTTTTTATTTCAGTGATATTTCTAAGACATGCATTCATTTTCTTTGAAGGTCACTAAATCAACAAGAAAATAGTTTATTTATAGAAAATAAAAGAGTATTCTGTTCAAGCAAAGGGATTGGGTGTTCATTACATTAGAGCCAAAAATGATTTTTGAACCAATTCCATGATTTTAGAGCAAACTGAAAAGTAGCTCGAATTAATAATTTGAGAAAATAAATAGGTGAATTGACTAATCTAATACCAATTCACATCAAATTTAACGAAAAAGAAGTATTTTACAAGAAAAATATCAACAAGAATCCCAAAATTTGAAAAGATGGTGTTTCAATTTAGCCCTTGTTTGGTGGGTGTTTGATTTATAAACACTTTTGGTCAAACTTACTTTTTATCCACACATTTTGTAGGATTTACAAGTAGTACTCACTTATCCACCACTCATTTTAATCTATTTATAAATTAAACCAATTATAATCACCTACAAACAAGCTTTTAAAGGCGATAAAAATCAATGCACAGAAATAAAAGAATCGTGAATGCTAAAATGAAGATAAATTTTGTTATCTAGAGTGTATGCACATACTAGAACGGAACAGAAAAGTATGAATTTAATCCGTCATCCTTATCAAGCAACTTTGATTGATCTAAAGCACTTGCCTTCTCAAAACCAGCTACTCCCTCCAACATCTTTTCTGAAAAGTTATGCTTTGAACGGAAGCATAATGTTAAAATTTTTGATGGGAGAAAATTATTAAACCTGTACAGAATTGGAGACAATTAAAACAATACTTAAATATCAGCTTGTGAAGAAAAGGAAAAAAAAATGAGCACAGAGACATCCATAATACCTCAGACTTCTGCCAAAAATATTCCTGTATCCTCTCTCAGCTTCAAAAACTATAGCACGTCTCAAGCATTTCTCACTGAAACCCTGTGAAAGGGAATCTCATTTTTAATCTCTTCTTAGGCACAATTAGAAATCTTGAACAGTAAATTAATAGAATTACACATGAGAAATAGCAAACCGTAGTAATGTTACTCGTAAATGTTTAGGCCCTGTTTGATCCACATTATTTGAAAAAAATACATTCTTAAATAGTGATTTAACATCATTTCAACCATATTTTTCAATAAAATAACATGACACGCAAGTCCAAAAATTTTCCTTATTTTTTAACCACACATTTTCCATCAATATACTATTCAAAAATACATTTTTATGAAAATAATGTGGCTCAAACAAGGGCTTAATGTATAAGTCAAGCTGAAGTGGAATGGGATTTCCTCATGAAAACATTTAGGGCCTGCTTGGGAGTTTCTTTTTCACCGGTTTTGGGTGGCACCATTTATGAGGGATTGAGAAAACCGATGCTTGGACACTAGTTTTAAATGGTTTGTTTCTTACAATCCACCAAATCGGTTGGTTTTGTCCGTTTCTCATATTCTCTTCTAATTTTACCAAATAATTATTTACAACTAACCTATTTAGTTCAAAACTAACTTGTAAAAAAATATACATTAATTATTAAAAGATGGGGGGAAGAAACTTATACACACCATGCTAAATAAATACACAATTGATGCTCCCACTGCCATATACCCCAAGATTACACTGTGAATAATAGCTCCCTAAATGATACAGCCATTGAACCTGCAAAGCACAACAATACAGTCAGTGATAGATTCAACTAACCATAGTAGACCTATGAAAACAGAATTAACACGTGTTTGATGATCATATGAAGACTTGAAATTTAGCGTGTTATAGCCCATTGAGAAGAGCAATATCAATCTGTACTACTGGGTATAGAAGTTATCTGGTCCCGTCAATACGGTTTCATGTAAACACATTACAACGACAGCCTGCTATAATAGTAGAGTACTATATTTCACAGAATAGGCAAATCTCTGCCAACAAAATTCTGACTGCAATTCAGTTAACTCAATGATCGAATAACAACTTTTATACTAGGTATGAGCACAAAGCTAAGACCATATCAAGGATTTGCTCTTGGAAAAGATATAAGTAATAACTGTAGAACCTGACCAAAAGGTTGTTGGTTGCTGAAATACAACAAGCAAACTGTGTCATGAGATTTGACAAAATTTTATGTCAAAACATATGAGCTCAATAAGTGACATAAAGATTTCAATGGATGATTTCATGTAGGTAAAGTAAATCATGTAAGGTGATTACATATGAACTATATAACAAAAAGGTTTAAGAAAATCTAATACTAAAAGTAAAAAATCACTGCATTTATTTCAATCTCCCTTAGTCTACCGATGTACCTTGTGGTAGGTAAAACATTGGTCGCTATAATCCTGATAGGCAGAGCACTCTGAATGAATAACATTTTATCAAAAAAGGTAGGAGAAAGTAAGAGAAGATAGGATGGCCTTCAACACCAAAGAGATATAGTAACCTACTTATTCATTTGAAAAGATCAATATTCTATCAGGATTCAAGACCTCACTTATATATTGAAGATAGGATGGCTTTCAACTTGAATGGGGCATTCTAGAAATTATGAAGTATGTAGTTTGATTTCTCTAGTTCCACAAGTCTTAAAGGGACTCTGACCAATCTGCCAGCAAACTAACAGATATTTGTAATAAAATTGCTTAAATTACATTACATGCTTGAACATTTAAATATCGATAAATCAAGGTTTCTTGAACCAATTTTGGATATTTTGTGTATTCTAGCCCCCATTTGGCCCCCATTACATCTCATCAAATTAAATTAATTTTTTCTACCCCACAATCTTCAATAAAAAAATATTCCAAGTTCATTCTTTTACAACCATCCATTTAAAAAAAAAAAAAAAAAAAATAAACTATTATAATGAAGGGGGGCCTAGTTTTGTAGCTGCCAAAAAAAAAAAGATAACAAGACATAGGAAAATTTTGTTTCTTCTTTTTTGTTCTAGAAATTAAACTCTGTGATGGTTGCAAATTCTACAATACTAATAATAATAACAACAACAACAACAACCTTGTCAAAAAGACACCATTTTTCCTTATAAAAAAATAAAAAATAAAGAAACCATTTTTCGACTAAGAAATATCTTTACCAGTTAGTCGTAATTTCCCAGTTAAAGATACAGAAACCACAAAGGAAAAGAAAATGCACGAAACACAGTAACTCTCATCGAAGACGATAGACACAAAGTACACTCATATAATCGATACACCCAGAAAATTACGAGCAACAGACAGAGATTTCGCGAGCCCAGAATATTGAATTTTCATTATATCATAAGGTAAACGTACCCATATAGTAAAAGTCACAATTTTGAGTGTAAAATTGTCGAAAAGGACTTAAACAAGTGAGAAATGGGACTACTCTGAAACCCATTGGACAAACTACAGCTCGATAAAGAAATAAAGAGAGAATTGAGTAGAGAAGAAAACAAACCTGCACTTCGTCAGTAGACAATTGGAAGTTATGAGCAAAGCTGTTAAATATTCGGAAGCAAGCAACATCAATGGCCGGGACATGGATACTTTTTGAGAGAATAAAGCACGTGAGTCTCACGTGGTGACTCGTCCCGGTTCGAGCAGCCCTCCTACATTTCAGAGGAATATTTTAGCTACAAATTTCATAAATCAGCCTTTGTTTGGAGAGATTTTTTTATTTGGTTTGTCACTATTTCTTTTTATGAAAATGTCTATATTACCTTTAATGAAATGATTCTTTCTATATTACAACATATGTTCTAATTTTTTAAACATTTTATCTTCTATTTATTTTATTTTGGATATTTGAGTATAAAATCATTTTATGATCTAATAAATAAGAATAATCCATAACATATATATCATATTTTCTTAATAAAATATCATATTCTTCAAATGGTAAATTTGTATTTTTTAATTGAGATATAATTTTTTTATTTTTTCTAACATTCTTTCTAATAAATTATCTAATCTTTCAACTGTATATCCTGGCATTTATCAAAATAATCATCATGCAATTGTCCCTGCGATTCTTTTAAGACCTTTAAAAAGATTCATTCTAATTTTAGCAAAAGTTTAATAATTTTATTTTAAGTTTGATCTAGACTTGTATTCTTAAAATCGAGTGACCTTCGAACTCTGAATTTGTAAACTACTTCCGGCCTCCTGCCTTCACGGAATTGTTACTATTTCAACTACTTGCTCTCACTGTATCAACTTCTAAAGAATAAAATTCTAGACTTCTGTTAAAGAAAAACTCTCTTTTTGCTAAAATAAGAAGGAAACTTTCTATTAGATCTTTCAAGAATCTATGGGAAAAAGATTTGGAAACTCATATTGATATCAAAATATTGGAATTTTATTTCTATTAGGATTGATACAAGACTTTAATTTGGTACAAGGGGTTTCCAAAAAAACTGATTTTTAAATTGAGAATGGGCTATTGCTTACAACTCGAGAATTCAAGATAGGATGAGATGATTTTATTCTATGGTAATGTCTCTATTTATACAATTTTTTGAGACTCGATTACGTCATTGAATACATCAGCAAAGTACACTTGCCTTTCTATTTTATTCCCCTTGGGCCTACATCTTCATATGTTGGTTCAACTTTTTTATCCAAATAGCATCTTTTTCTATTATTGTTCTTTATCTTCAATGTCTTCATATGTAGTATTACTGCCCTTCATACACCTTTATCAAAAGTAGCTTTATCCTCTTCTTACATTTTTTCACATACAGTTGGGGCACTCCCTTAGCTGACAAGATTCTTTCATAGTGGTAGGACATTCTAAAAATTGATGTATATCAAATCTTGTAATATAGTCTTTTAAAATTTCTGATTTTACATATCTTCCATTGGATACCAGCATCCAATTCTCATATTGGCATGGGCACGAGAATTTTTTATCAAACAAGTTTTTGGCAATGTTGTAGATGACTTTAATTCTAAGTGCTCTTCTATGTCTAATTCATGATTTTGTTACTGTTGGGACTTTTCTGTTATTCTCCGTAACATCAATTTGGAAATTGGCTGCAATATATCCAATTGAGATTACGTGTTCAACTGGATAGTAAACAATTCCATCATATTACGGACTGATTGAATATAATTTTAAAAATATCTTCCTTCCCTTGGTAAATCTGGATACCTCCTTAATGAATACATCATAAAACTTTGAAATTTCAATAAAGTCTTTTCCTGGATAAATCAAATCCATGAATCCATAGTCTGTCATGATTTTTATAAATGAAGGGTCATCTCCTTTCACAATTGTTATTCTGGGGTAAACATTATTTCCCGAAAAAATAAAATATGAATCACTTATTTTTATTTCATAAGCGATTTTGACTATTTCGGCATATTTTTCTTTGTTTGGATCTAAAGGGATTTTGTCTTCTTAGTCTATGATGCTGATTGTTTTGGTATCTCTTTTATCTCCATATATCATAACTTTTTTAGTTGATGATACAGAAATGGAATCTCCTTTATTATCAGTTGGTATGTTGTCACGTCTGGGTCCACTGCTGCTTCCAGCTGTCCCTGTTTGGTATTGATTTGGAAAACTCATTTCTAAGCTCTTTGATATATATGTTTCAAACAGTATATTTTTTAATTGTGCTGCAATAGCATCAACTTGATTTTTGAGTTCTATGTCATATTTATGATGTTCAGTGGTGATATTAAACAATATTTTCATATTTGAGTTGGACTACTTTGAGGTCCATTACTAGGTCTAATAAGTTTTTGTTTTAACAATTCTTTTATCTAATTTTTAAATTATTGTGTATCTTCTATTGTATACATCATTGGTTTTCCTCGTATTATAACATTTTCTGTTAATTCTATTTTAACTTTTAGGTTATGTGGTTTCCAAAATAATAATGGATTTTCGCTATAAACCTTTTCTAATTGTTCAATGATTTTTTCTATATTCATTTCTATTCCTGTTTTTATAACATTTTTATATAATATTCTTTTATTTTTTATTTCATTATTAAGAATTGTTTTTTTCTCCCATCTATCACCACGCTGGGCTGACCGAACTCTATAAGGTTTAAATTCTCTAGGAATTTCTAATAAGTGTCCACAAGGTGTTTGTAACATTATCATATAATTATTTTATTTATAATATTGAAATTGTTGTATGAAATCATTTCCTAATAATATATCACATTCTAATTTATCATATTTATAAATTTTATTTATTGTTACTTATTTACTTCCAAGAATTATATTAACTTTATCAGCACTATTAATTATTTGAGTACTTTCTCCTGTAACACCAATTATTTTTTTGTTACAATTATTATTCCATGATTTTATTAAAAAACTTTTAAATATTGTTATATCACTTCCTGTATTTATTAAAGCATAGGTTGTTATATTTGTTTCTACAATAGTAATTTGTATATACACTGCTAATGGAAAATTTATCTGATTATTCATCTAATTCTTTTTGCATAATGTAGTTTATCTATTATGAACAATATATAATCCTTCTCTTTTTATACTATAATCTTTTAATCCGTTTAGAAAACTCATTCTTAAAAGTATATGAGGATTTATATCCATACTTTTATCTATATAACATGGTACTAAGAGATCTATTCCTTCTATTTTTATTGGTACTTTAACTTATAAATTTGTTATATGTACTTGACCATCAAAATTTACATATTTTTATGGCTCGATTTTATGAGTTATTAGTCATTTGTTTCTAATCGATACTATATGACATTAACTAACCCTGTATCCATTAATATATTTGGTCCGGTTATATTTTCTCTTCCATTATAATATTTTCCTTCTATTTTCATATTTCCAACATTCCTATACAATTTTATTTCTTTTATTTTGTTGATTTATTCTAACTGGTTTTTATTAGGTATTTTAAAACTTTTTAATCTTTTAATTAATTTTTCATCCTTAAATGTCATGTTATTAGAACATTCTCTTTCATTTAATTCTGTTATTTCAAGTTTATTTTTTGCTATACTAAATTCATATTCTTCTGAAATTAAACTAATTTGTTTATTTGGTTCTATTATTTTACTAATATCTTTGCATTTTTTATGAATTTCAATATATGGTTTATTGGAATAAATATTCCCATAATTAGAATTGGTAAATGTATATAAAGCTCTACATTCTATAGTCATGATTTGATCACTTGGTTGCGTAATATCATCTCTATGAAGCTTGAAATGTAGTCCTAAAACTTCATTAAAAATTTTATCTGTTAATGATACACAATATTTTGGATAACATGTAAACATAATTTTTTGATTTGCTAAATTTCCTTCTATTGTTCCTAAATGACTTTCTTTTAAATTTATTATTCTTCCATCATGTAAAGTTATAGTTAAGGGTGAATTTATTCCTTCTCTAAATAGTGATTTAAATATTATTTGTATTCCTGCTAAATAAGCATATTGGATTTTTTCACTTTGTTTTTTACTAATATTTGTTAAAAGTTAATCAACTGTATTTCTTGTTAAAATATTTAATTTATGTTACCCATAAGTTGTTCTTACATTTATGATTTTTTATATTTTGTGATATTCATTTATTGCTATTCTTTCTCTTTTCCAAATTCTATCAAAGACTTTCCATTTTCCTATTTTTAAGTCTAATGATAATTTTTGCAATTTTCTAAACTTGTTATTGTCAAAAGTGAGTTTTAATCCATATCCTTCTACTCGTTCATATTTTTGTATATTAATATTATTACTTTCTATTTCTTCAATTTCTTTATTCAGATCTTCATTCATCTTTTTCTGTTTCACTTATATATATTTCTTGATCATAGTATTCTTCAACATCTGATATTTTACTCAATTCATCTTTTATTTCTAAATATTCTTTTTGTAATATTCTGACTTTCTTTTTATCACAATCACGACTTATATGACTTATTTCTCTACAATTTCAACATTTACATTGGCTTTTATTTTTCTTATAATTCTTATTTTTCTGTTGATTATATGGGTTATTTTTTCTTTTATAATATCTTCTTCTAAATTTTATATATTTTTTATTAAAATTTCTAAAATTTTTAAACTTCTTATTTTTATATTTTCTTTTATTAATTATTCTTTCAGGATTACATCCCTATTGCACATGGATTTCCACATCTTCACAACATATTTTAGTTAATTTTCCTGATTTTTTCATTAATTGTCTTTGTTGACATATATGTGCAAGTCTTTCAAATAAAAATTTTATTCTTGAACCTAACGTTCTGGGTATTTCAGCATTATCTTTAACATATTTTTCAAATTCTATTTTAAAATATATTCCCCATGAACCTAGTAACTTATTATAATACATATTTTGGTATATTTCTTGATTTTCATTACTATAAAATTGAACATAATAGTAATTTTTAAATTTACAAGTATATTCTTTAATTTTACACATATCACATATTGTTAAATTTATTAATTTTATTCTAACATTATCTTTTTCTCTTATTGATTCACTTCCAACATTTTTTATCCAATTTTTTCCTAGAAATTCATCTGAAATAAATTTCACTAATTTTTCTATATCTTGTCTATCTGATTTGATTATTTCTGTTTGTACATTTCTTTTTATTAATGTTTTTGT